CAGTTCGTGTGTCTGGCGGCTCGTCATCGAGTGGCGTCGGCGGCAATGTGACTGTGTCGAGCGGCGACTCCGGGAGCAGTGCGGTTGGCAGCAGCGTGTTTGTCCGCAGTGGTTCTGGCGGCAGCCTGAGCCTCGTCCAGGGCGACAGCAGTGCTGTTGGTGCCGATGTGGAGTTGCGTGGCGGCAGTGTGGCCAGCGTGGACGCAGCGCAAAAGTTGAAGATCGTCGGGTCTGCGAACGCTCAAGGAAGAGCGGGCGACGTGTTTATTGATGGCGGGTCGTCCGTCGCCACTGTGGGTGGTGCGGTGTTGCTGACAAGCGGCGGCGGTGCCATGACCAGTGGCGACGTGCGTGTGTCCACGAGTGTCGTGTCCAGCGGCTCTAGCGGTGATATTGAGGTGTACACTAGCGCTAGCAGTACGTCTAGCGGATCCGTTCGTATCAGCAGCGGGTCCGCTGACGCTAGTGTAGGATCCATCGAGGTATCTGGTGGCTCTTCTGCGAGCGGAGAGGGCTCCAGTGTGTCCGTGGTGGGCGGTGCATCGGAGTCGTTTACGGGCGGCGGCGTGACGATCCAGAGTGGCAAGGGCTTGTCGACAACAAGCGGGGCGGTGACGCTCGGATCTCATGGTGGCGTCAGCTCCGTGAACAGTGGCGCGGTGGCGCTGTCGAGTGGCTCGGTGGAGATCGGTTCGTCCGGCGCCATTTCGATCGGTTCGGGCGCGTCGCTTGCGCAATCTAGTGGGTCTGTGAGCATGTCTGGCGGCGAGGCTGCAGGTGTCGGTGGTTCAATTAATGTGTCCGGCGGCAGCAGCTCCGGCGACTTGGGCGGCTCATTGACTTTGGCTGGTGGTGCTGGCGTGACAGGAGGCGACGTGAATGTGTCGGGAGGCGCGAGTGCATCGGGCATTGGTGCGTCGGTAGCGTTGCGCAGCGGAAAAGGCTTGAGCAACAGCGGCGAGGTGCGTGTGGCAAGCGCGGATGGCGCGGCGTCGGGCGGTGTACAGATCTCGTCCGGCTCGGTGTCAAGTAGCAGTGGTTCTGCAGGGGGCATCAACTTGTCGGTTGGCTCATCTGTCATTGAAGGCGGTAACGTCGAAGTACGCAGTGGGTCTAGTACTGGATCCGCTGCGGGGGACGTGTTGCTGGCGGGCGGATCATCTCTAGTGGCGCTTTCGTCTTCGTCTGCGTCTTCGTCTGCGGAAGCTGCGGCTGGTGCAGTTCGGCTGGAGGGGGGTAGCTCTACTGGCAGCAACGGCGGCGGTTTGGTGTCCGTATCGGGTGGCGCTGGTATCGTGCAGGGCGGCTCGGTATCCGTATTGAGTGGTAACGGCAGTGACGCGACTGCCATCAGTGGCAGTGTGTTGGTGGGCTCTTCTGGCGGTGGCACCAGCGGCTCTTTGGACGTGAGGAGCGGTGCTTCGACTGCAGGCGCGTCCGGCAGTGTAACATTGGGCAGTGGCGACTCGATCGATAGTGCGCCTGGGTCTATCGATGTCATTGGCGGGTCCAGTGTTTCGTCCAGCGGTGGTTCGGTGTCAGTGCGTGGCGGAGGGTCCTCTGCGTCTATTGGCGGAGCGGTATTGCTACAGAGCGGAGCGGGTGGTACAGGTAGCGGTAACATTCTGGTGTCCAGCGCGGTTGGGACAGACTCGAGCTTAAGTGGCAACGTGGATATTGGCACAGGCGTTGCCGATTCTAGTGCGTCGGGCTCGCTGTCAGTCGCGTCTGGCGGAAGTGCTAGTGGCTCGAGCGGGTCTGTCGTCATGTCGAGTGGCGATTCCTCCTCGACCGATGCGGGTGGCGTGGAGATCCGTGGTGGGTCATCCGGCAGCTCTACCGCACGCGGAGGCTCAGTGACCGTGTCGTCCGGTGTGGATGGCGTGGTGAGTTTGTCTAGCGGCGTTCGTCGTAGTGCTATCGGCGGCATGGTCGACATTGTGGCCGGTGCTAGCATAGACGGCAGTGCGGGCGGCGGGTCGGTGAGGATTCGCGGTGGCGCTTTGAGTGCATCTTCGGGCCTTGCGGGCGATATTGCTATGTTCGGCGGTATGGCCTCGACGGGCACGGCGACTGGAGGCGTTATTTCTCTTGACGGCGGCGTGAGTGAGGCTGGCGTCGGTGGCGGCGTGTCCATTTCGTCTGGCGCAGGATTGCTGGGCAGCGGGGACATGCGCGTTGTGAGCGGTGCTTCTACGAGCGGCGCCGCTTTGAGCGGCTCGACGACGATCGGAAGTGGCGAGTCCGTGGATGCTGCGTCGGGCGTGGTGACGCTATCTTCGGGGTCTTCAGCAGCTGCAAGTAGCGGTGATGTGTCAGTGCAATCAGGCCGTGCGGCTACAGTGGCAGGCCGCGTGTTTGTGTCGGGTGGCTTTAGTAGCTCCTCGACAGGCGGAGCGGTGTCTGTGTCTAGTGGCGCTGGTAGTGTGTCGAGCGGGGCTGTGTCGATTGGGAGCAGTGCTGCTAGCGCTGTGTCTGGTTCTGGTGAGGTGTCGATTGTGTCTGGCGACGCGATCGATGGCGGTTCCGGCGCAGTGCGTGTGTCCAGCGGCTCTAGCAGCACAGGGTCCGGGGGCTCAGTGAACGTTGTGGGCGGGCCTAGCGGCACGGCGGCATCGGGAGGCAATATTCTCGTGAGTGGCGGTGGGTCGTACACGGGATCTTCCGGCTTCGTGGACGTGAGCGGCGGTTCTTCGCCGTCGAGCGGGTCTGGCGGAGCAGTTCGTGTGTCTGGCGGCTCGTCATCGAGTGGCGTCGGCGGCAATGTGACTGTGTGGAGCGGCGACTCCGGGAGCAGTGCGGTTGGCAGCAGCGTGTTTGTCCGCAGTGGTTCTGGCGGCAGCCTGAGCCTCGTCCAGGGCGACAGCAGTGCTGTTGGTGCCGATGTGGAGTTGCGTGGCGGCAGTGTGGCCAGCGTGGACGCAGCGCAAAAGTTGAAGATCGTCCCGGGCTCGCGAACGCTCAAGGAAGAGCGGGCGACGTGTTTATTGATGGCGGGTCGTCCGTCGCCACTGTGGGTGGTGCGGTGTTGCTGACAAGCGGCGGCGGTGCCATGACCAGTGGCGACGTGCGTGTGTCCACGAGTGTCGTGTCCAGCGGCTCTAGCGGTGATATTGAGGTGTACACTAGCGCTAGCAGTACGTCTAGCGGATCCGTTCGTATCAGCAGCGGGTCCGCTGACGCTAGTGTAGGATCCATCGAGGTATCTGGTGGCTCTTCTGCGAGCGGAGAGGGCTCCAGTGTGTCCGTGGTGGGCGGTGCGTCGGGGTCGTTAACGGGCGGCGGCGTGACGATCCAGAGTGGCAAGGGCTTGTCGACAACAAGCGGGGCGGTGACGCTCGGATCTCATGGTGGCGTCAGCTCCGTGAACAGTGGCGCGGTGGCGCTGTCGAGTGGCTCGGTGGAGATCGGTTCGTCCGGCGCCATTTCGATCGGTTCGGGCGCGTCGCTTGCGCAATCTAGTGGGTCTGTGAGCATGTCTGGCGGCGAGGCTGCAGGTGTCGGTGGTTCAATTAATGTGTCCGGCGGCAGCAGCTCCGGCGACTTGGGCGGCTCATTGATATTGGCTGGTGGTGCTGGCGTGACAGGAGGCGACGTGAATGTGTCGGGAGGCGCGAGTGCATCGGGCATTGGTGCGTCGGTAGCGTTGCGCAGCGGAAAAGGCTTGAGCAACAGCGGCGAGGTGCGTGTGGCAAGCGCGGATGGCGCGGCGTCGGGCGGTGTACAGATCTCGTCCGGCTCGGTGTCAAGTAGCAGTGGTTCTGCAGGGGGCATCAACTTGTCGGTTGGCTCATCTGTCATTGAAGGCGGTAACGTCGAAGTACGCAGTGGGTCTAGTACTGGATCCGCTGCGGGGGACGTGTTGCTGGCGGGCGGATCATCTCTAGTGGCGCTCTGCTTTTCGTCTGCGTCTTCGTCTTCGTCTTCGTCTGCGTCTTCGTCTTCGTCTGCGGAAGCTGCGGCTGGTGCAGTTCGGCTGGAGGGGGGTAGCTCTACTGGCAGCAACGGCGGCGGTTTGGTGTCCGTATCGGGTGGCGCTGGTATCGTGCAGGGCGGCTCGGTATCCGTATTGAGTGGTAACGGCAGTGACGCGACTGCCATCAGTGGCAATGTGTTGGTGGGCTCCTCTGGCGGTGGCACCAGCGGCTCTTTGGACGTGAGGAGCGGTGCTTCGACTGCAGGCGCGTCCGGCAGTGTAACATTGGGCAGTGGCGACTCGATCGATAGTGCGCCTGGGTCTATCGATGTCATTGGCGGGTCCAGTGTTTCGTCCAGCGGTGGTTCGGTGTCAGTGCGTGGCGGAGGGTCCTCTGCGTCTATTGGCGGAGCGGTATTGCTACAGAGCGGAGCGGGTGGTACAGGTAGCGGTAACATTCTGGTGTCCAGCGCGGTTGGGACGGACTCGAGCTTAAGTGGCAACGTGGATATTGGCACAGGCGGTGCCGATTCTAGTGCGTCGGGTTCGCTGTCAGTCGCGTCTGGCGGAAGTGCTAGTGGCTCGAGCGGGTCTGTGGTCGTGTCGAGTGGCGATTCCTCCTCGACCGATGCGGGTGGCGTGGAGATCCGTGGTGGGTCATCCGGCAGCTCTACCGCACGCGGAGGCTCAGTGACCGTGTCGTCCGGTGTGGATGGCGTGGTGAGTTTGTCTAGCGGCGTTCGTCGTAGTGCTATCGGCGGCATGGTCGACATTGTGGCCGGTGCTAGCATAGACGGCAGTGCGGGCGGCGGGTCGGTGAGGGTTCGCGGTGGCGCTTTGAGTGCATCTTCGGGCCTTGCGGGCGATATTGCCATGTTCGGCGGTATGGCCTCGACGGGCACGGCGACTGGAGGCGTTATTTCTCTTGACGGCGGCGTGAGTGAGGCTGGCGTCGGTGGCGGCGTGTCCATTTCGTCTGGCGCAGGATTGCTGGGCAGCGGGGACATGCGCGTTGTGAGCGGTGCTTCTACGAGCGGCGCCGCTTTGAGCGGCTCGACGACGATCGGAAGTGGCGAGTCCGTGGATGCTGCGTCGGGCGTGGTGACGCTATCTTCGGGGTCTTCAGCAGCTGCAAGTAGCGGTGATGTGTCAGTGCAATCAGGCCGTGCGGCTACAGTGGCAGGCCGCGTGTTTGTGTCGGGTGGCTTTAGTAGCTCCTCGACAGGCGGAGCGGTGTCTGTGTCTAGTGGCGCTGGTAGTGTGTCGAGCGGTGCTGTGTCGATTGGGAGCAGTGCTGCTAGCGCTGTGTCTGGTTCTGGTGAGGTGTCGATTGTGTCTGGCGACGCGTTCGATGGCGGTTCCGGCGCAGTGCGTGTGTCCAGCGGCTCTAGCAGCACAGGGTCCGGGGGCTCAGTTAACGTTGTGGGCGGGCCTAGCGGCGCGGCGGCATCGGGAGGCAATGTTCTCGTGGGTGGCGGTGGGTCGTACACGGGATCTTCCGGGTCCGTGGACGTGAGCGGTGGTTCTTCGTCGTCGAGCGGGTCTGGCGGAGCTGTTCGTGTGTCTGGCGGCTCGTCATCGAGTGGCGTCGGCGGCAATGTGACTGTGTCGAGCGGCGACTCCGGGAGCAGTGCGGTTGGCAGCAGCGTGTTTGTCCGCAGTGGTTCTGGCGGCAGCTTGAGCCTCGTCCAGGGCGACAGCAGTGCTGTTGGTGCCGATGTGGAGTTGCGTGGCGGCAGTGTGGCCAGCGTGGACGCAGCGCAAAAGTTGAAGATCGTCGGGTCTGCGAACGCTCAAGGAAGAGCGGGCGACGTGTTTATTGATGGCGGGTCGTCCGTCGCCACTGTGGGTGGTGCGGTGTTGCTGACAAGCGGCGGCGGTGCCATGACCAGTGGCGACGTGCGTGTGTCCACGAGTGTCGTGTCCAGCGGTTCTAGCGGTGATATTGAGGTGTACACTAGCGCTAGCAGTACGTCTAGCGGATCCGTTCGTATCAGCAGCGGGTCCGCTGACGCTAGTGTAGGATCCATCGAGGTATCTGGTGGCTCTTCTGCGAGCGGAGAGGGCTCCAGTGTGTCCGTGGTGGGCGGTGCATCGGAGTCGTTTACGGGCGGCGGCGTGACGATCCAGAGTGGCAAGGGCTTGTCGACAACAAGCGGGGCGGTGACGCTCGGATCTCATGGTGGCGTCAGCTCCGTGAACAGTGGCGCGGTGGCGCTGTCGAGTGGCTCGGTGGAGATCGGTTCGTCCGGCGCCATTTCGATCGGTTCGGGCGCGTCGCTTGCGCAATCTAGTGGGTCTGTGAGCATGTCTGGCGGCGAGGCTGCAGGTGTCGGTGGTTCAATTAATGTGTCCGGCGGCAGCAGCTCCGGCGACTTGGGCGGCTCATTGACTTTGGCTGGTGGTGCTGGCGTGACAGGAGGCGACGTGAATGTGTCGGGAGGCGCGAGTGCATCGGGCATTGGTGCGTCGGTAGCGTTGCGCAGCGGAAAAGGCTTGAGCAACAGCGGCGAGGTGCGTGTGGCAAGTGCGGATGGCGCGGCGTCGGGCGGTGTACAGATCTCGTCCGGCTCGGTGTCAAGTAGCAGTGGTTCTGCAGGGGGCATCAACTTGTCGGTTGGCGCATCTGTCATTGAAGGCGGTAACGTCGAAGTACGCAGTGGGTCTAGTACTGGATCCGCTGCGGGGGACGTGTTGCTGGCGGGCGGATCATCTCTAGTGGCGCTTTCGTCTTCGTCTTCGTCTTCGTCTGCGTCTTCGTCTTCTTCTTCGTCTGCGGAAGCTGCGGCTGGTGCAGTTCGGCTGGAGGGGGGTAGCTCTACTGGCAGCAACGGCGGCGGTTTGGTGTCCGTATCGGGTGGCGCTGGTATCGTGCAGGGCGGCTCGGTATCCGTATTGAGTGGTAACGGCAGTGACGCGACTGCCATCAGTGGCAATGTGTTGGTGGGCTCCTCTGGCGGTGGCACCAGCGGCTCTTTGGACGTGAGGAGCGGTGCTTCGACTGCAGGCGCGTCCGGCAGTGTAACATTGGGCAGTGGCGACTCGATCGATAGTGCGCCTGGGTCTATCGATGTCATTGGCGGGTCCAGTGTTTCGTCCAGCGGTGGTTCGGTGTCAGTGCGTGGCGGAGGGTCCTCTGCGTCTATTGGCGGAGCGGTATTGCTACAGAGCGGAGCGGGTGGTACAGGTAGCGGTAACATTCTGGTGTCCAGCGCGGTTGGGACGGACTCGAGCTTAAGTGGCAACGTGGATATTGGCACAGGCGGTGCCGATTCTAGTGCGTCGGGTTCGCTGTCAGTCGCGTCTGGCGGAAGTGCTAGTGGCTCGAGCGGGTCTGTGGTCGTGTCGAGTGGCGATTCCTCCTCGACCGATGCGGGTGGCGTGGAGATCCGTGGTGGGTCATCCGGCAGCTCTACCGCACGCGGAGGCTCAGTCACCGTGTCGTCCGGTGTGGATGGCGTGGTGAGTTTGTCTAGCGGCGTTCGTCGTAGTGCTATCGGCGGCATGGTCGACATTGTGGCCGGTGCTAGCATAGACGGCAGTGCGGGCGGCGGGTCGGTGAGGATTCGCGGTGGCGCTTTGAGTGCATCTTCGGGCCTTGCGGGCGATATTGCCATGTTCGGCGGTATGGCCTCGACGGGCACGGCGACTGGAGGCGTTATTTCTCTTGACGGCGGCGTGAGTGAGGCTGGCGTCGGTGGCGGCGTGTCCATTTCGTCTGGCGCAGGATTGCTGGGCAGCGGGGACATGCGCGTTGTGAGCGGTGCTTCTACGAGCGGCGCCGCTTTGAGCGGCTCGACGACGATCGGAAGTGGCGAGTCCGTGGATGCTGCGTCGGGCGTGGTGACGCTATCTTCGGGGTCTTCAGCAGCTGCAAGTAGCGGTGATGTGTCAGTGCAATCAGGCCGTGCGGCTACAGTGGCAGGCCGCGTGTTTGTGTCGGGTGGCTTTAGTAGCTCCTCGACAGGCGGTGCGGTGTCTGTGTCTAGTGGCGCTGGTAGTGTGTCGAGCGGGGCTGTGTCGATTGGGAGCAGTGCTGCTAGCGCTGTGTCTGGTTCTGGTGAGGTGTCGATTGTGTCTGGCGACGCGTTCGATGGCGGTTCCGGCGCAGTGCGTGTGTCCAGCGGCTCTAGCAGCACAGGGTCCGGGGGCTCAGTGAACGTTGTGGGCGGGCCTAGCGGCGCGGCGGCATCGGGAGGCAATATTCTCGTCAGTGGTGGTAAATCGCACACGGGATCTTCCGGATCCGTGGACGTGAGCGGTGGTTCTTCGTCGTCGAGCGGGTCTGGTGGAGCAGTTCGTGTGTCTGGCGGCTCGTCATCGAGTGGCGTCGGCGGCAATGTGACTGTGTCGAGCGGCGACTCCGGGAGCAGTGCGGTTGGCAGCAGCGTGTTTGTCCGTAGCGGCTCTGGCGGCAGCCTGAGCCTAGTGCAGGGCGACAGCAGTGCTGTTGGTGCCGATGTGGAGTTGCGTGGCGGCAGTGTGGCCAGCGTGGATGCAGCGCAGAAAGTGAAGATCATTGGTTCGGCGAACGCCCAGGGAGCAGGAGGCGACGTGTTTATTGATGGCGGGTCTTCGAGATCTTTGAGTGGCGGTACAGTGCGTATCGGTGGTGGGCGGAGTAGCTCAAGCGCTGGAGGTGTGATGATCCGTGGCCAAGACTCAGTTTTGGACGGTGGCCAAGTGACAATGTTAGGAGGGGCAAGCAACTCTACTACTGGTGGAAACGTTTCTGTTATTGGTGGCGATGTTATGGGAAAAGGAAAATCGTCAGTGGCAGGATCAATTAATCTGGCTGGAGGTATGTCGCACATCATTGGAACCGGAGGGTATGTCTCGGTCAGCGGAGGCACCGGCGCTGAAGCTGGTGGAAGCGTCAGCGTTCTCGCGGGATCAGGGTCGAAGCTTGCCGGCGGAAACTTGCAGCTTTCTTCTGGCGATGGTGCTCAAAGCGGATTTATCCGTATCGAAACGGGAAGTGCCTCTGCAGCTCAATCCGGTGATGTTCATGTCAAGTCCGGAAGTTCGTCTGCTTGGGGATCCGGATCCGTCTTCATGCAAGCAGGGTCCAGCGGAAAGGCAAAGGGCGGCGATGTGGTCGTCAGTGCCGGCAGCAGCTCTTTTGGTGGAGCTGGTGGCAGTGTTTCCATCCAGAGTGGTATCAATTCATTTGGTCAAAGTGGTGACATAAACCTCGCCAGTCAGACTTCTGTGGCTCGTGCGGGGAGTGGAAAACTTTCCGTCTCGAGCGGTCAAGTCAAGCAAGGCACAAGTGGTTCGCTACAATTGTCAAGTGGGGGCAGCGAACAGGGACAGTCAGGTTCGTTATACCTGTCTACTGGTGACTCGAAGGGGCCTCAAGGGGACATTCGTATCGCCGCAGGAGCAAGCGTAGATTCACCTTCCAGTGGCGGATCGATCTCGCTGAGTGCATCAAGCAGTGGCCTCGTTAACATAACAACAGCTGGCCGCTCATCTAGTGCATCAGGAGATGTGGCCATTCAAGTCGGGCCCACGTCCACGATGAGCTCAGGCGGCAATGTCAACATTTCAGCAGGTTCTCTATCTGGGCGGTCTGGTGTTGGTGGCAGTATTCTCCTACAAGGTGGTAGTGCTGTTGCGTCTTCGCGCGATAACAGTGATGGCGGGACTATCGCACTTTCGGGTGGACCGAGCACGAGCCGTTTTGGCGGCTCTGTACAAGTCACATCGGGTGCGGGGCTCATTCAAAGCGGGTCTATTCAAGTTGTTAGTGGTGCTGGAGGTACACCAGGTGCTGTAGGATCAAGTGGTGCAACGTCAGTTGGAAGTGGGCGTTCCTTCACGTCTTCAACAGGACGTGTGACTCTAACTTCGGGGTTCTCACACGCGGCTGGGAGCGGCGATGTGTCAATGCAGTCTGGCAGTGCGGCTGCAATGGCAGGCCGCGTGCTTGTGTCGGGTGGCTTTAGTAGCTCCTCGACAGGCGGTGCGGTGTCTGTGTCTAGTGGTGCTGGTAGTGTGTCGAGCGGTGCTGTGTCGATTGGGAGCAGTGCTGCTAGCGCTGTGTCTGGTTCTGGTGAGGTGTCGATTGTGTCTGGCGACGCGATCGATGGCGGTTCCGGCGCAGTGCGTGTGTCCAGCGGCTCTAGCAGCACAGGGTCCGGGGGCTCAGTGAACGTTGTGGGCGGGCCTAGCGGCGCGGCGGCATCGGGAGGCAATGTTGTCGTCAGTGGCGGTAGGTCGCACACGGGATCTTCCGGATCCGTGGACGTGAGCGGTGGTTCTTCGTCGTCGAGCGGGTCTGGCGGAGCAGTTCGTGTGTCTGGCGGTTCGTCATCGAGTGGCGTCGGCGGCAATGTGACTGTGTCGAGCGGCGACTCCGGAAGCAGTGCGTCCGGCAGCAGCGTGTTTGTCCGCAGTGGCTCTGGCGGCAGCCTGAGCCTCGTCCAGGGCGACAGCAGTGCTGTTGGTGCCGATGTGGAGTTGCGTGGCGGCAGTGTGGCCAGCGTGGACGCAGCGCAGAAGGTGAAGATTATTGGTTCTGCGAACGCGCAAGGAGCAGGAGGCGACGTGTCCATTGATGGCGGGTCGTCTGCGTCCACTGTGGGTGGTGCGGTGCTGTTGACAAGCGGCGGTGGTGCTGTGAGCAGCGGTGACGTGCGTGTGTTCACGAGCGTCATGTCCGGTGGTTCCAGTGGTGGCATCGAGGTGCGCACTAGCGCTAGCAGCGTGTCTAGTGGGTCCATTCGTATCGGCAGCGGGTCCGGTGATGCTAGTACTGGCTCGATCGAGGTGTCTGGTGGCTCTTCCATGAATGGTGAAGGCTCCGCGGTGTCTGTGTTGGGCGGTGCGTCGGGGTCGTTGACAGGCGGCAGCGTGACGATCTTGAGCGGCGACGGTTTGACATCAGAGAGCGGGTCGGTGACGCTCGGGTCTGAAGGCGGCGCAAGCACGACTGTGAGCGGGTCGGTGTCGCTGTTGAGTGGGTCGACGGCAAGCGGTTCGTCTGGCGCTGTAGCTATCGCGTCTGGCGCGTCGCCTGCTCTTTCGAGCGGGTCGGTGAGCGTGTTCGGTGGCGAGGCTGCAGGTACCGGTGGGCTTGTGAGCGTCACCGGCGGTAGTAGCACTGTTGCTGCGGGTGGTGCGTTGGCTTTGGCCAGTGGTGCTGGTGCGACGGGAGGCAGTGTGAAGGTGTCCGGCGGCGAGAGCGTGTCGGGCCCTGGTGCTTCAGTGGAGCTGCGAAGCGGAGAAGGCTCGAGCAGCAGTGGCGATGTGCGGCTGCAGAGTGCAGATGGCGTGGTGTCGGGCGATGTGCATGTCTTGTCCGGTTCGGCGACGAGCAGCAGCTCATCCGCAGGAAGCATCAACTTGTGGGTTGGTTCTTCGGTGGCTGACGGCGGCGATGTTGACGTGCGCAGTGGGTCCAGCTCTGAATCCGCGGCAGGTGACGTGTTGCTGACGGGCGGAGCTTCCTTGTTGTCGACATCGCCTTCTACAGGAGCTGTGGCAGGCGCCGTTCGACTAACCGGTGGCAGTTCTGCTGGAGACAATGCCGGTGGCGAGGTATTTGTGTCAGGTGGTGCTGGCGTCGCTAAGGGCGGGTCGGTGTCCGTGTTAAGCGGAGGAAGAGACGATGCGTCCGCTGTCAGTGGCGACGTAACGGTGGGTTCGACTTCTGGTAGTGCCAGCGGGTCCGTGGATGTGATGAGTGGCGCTTCGGGAACAGACGCGTCTGGCGGCGTGACGTTGGGAAGTGGGGACTCGAGCGACAGTACGTCGGGGTCCGTGTCCGTGGTTAGTGGCAGTAGTACCGTATCGAGTGGTGGCTCCGTGTCGATGCGTGGCGGAAGCAGCGGCGGTTCGTCTGAGGGTGGTTCTGTGTCGCTTGAGAGCGGTATGGCGAGCGCGAACAGCGGCAGCATTACGGTGTCCAGTGCAGCTGCGACTGACTCCAGCTTGAGCGGCAACGTGGACATTGGTACAGGCAGCGCCGGAATCTGGTGCTTCTGGTTCGTTGTCGGTTGTGTCCGGCGTCAGCGGAAGTGGATCGAGTGGGTCTGTGGTCGTGGCTAGCGGCATGGCTAGCTCGTCCGATGCAGGCAGCGTGGAGATCCGTGGTGGGTCAACCGGCGCTCGAGTGCACGCGGAGCCTCTGTGACCGTGTCGTCTGGCGAGGACGGCGTGGTGAGTTTGTCTAGCGGTGTTCGTCGCAGTGCTAACGGCGGGAAGGTCGAGATTGTGGCCGGAGCTGGCACGACCAGCAGCGTGGGTGGCGGGTCGGTGAGTGTTCGAGGTGCCTCTTTGAGTGCATCTTCGGGCCTTGGTAGGCGACGTTGCCTTTGTCCGGTGGTTGAGGCGTCGACGGGCGCGGCGACTGGAGGCGTTGTTTCTCTTGACGGCGGCGTGAGTGAGGCTGGCGTCGGTGGTGGCGTGTCCATTTCGTCTGGCGCGGGGTGCTGGGCAGCGGTGAGATGACCGTTGTGAGCGGTGCTTCTGCGAGCGGCGACGCCTTTGGAGCGGCTCGGCTACGATCGGAAAGTGGCGAGTCCGTGGATGCTGCGTCGGGTGTGGTGACGCTGTCTTCGGGGTCTTCGGCAGCGGCTAGCAGCGGTGATGTATCTGTGCAGTCTGGCGATGCGTTTACGGCAGCGGGTCGTGTGTCTGTATCGGGAGGGTCTAGCAGCTCTTCGACGGGCGGTGCGGTGTCTGTGACGAGCGGCGTGGGCAGCGACGTGAGCGGCCTTGTGTCGATTGAGAGTGGTGCTGTAAGTGCTGCATCTGCGTCCGGCGATGTGTCGCTTGTGTCGGGTGGCGCGGTGGATGGCAATACCGGTGCTGTGCGTATGTCTAGCGGCTCTAGTGACACAGGGCCCAGTGGGATGGTGAGTGTTGTGGGCGGCTCTAGTGGCACGGCGGCATCGGGAGGCAATGTTCTCGTGGGTGGCGGTGGGTCGTACACGGGATCTTCCGGGTCCGTGGACGTGAGCGGTGGTTCTTCGTCGTCGAGCGGGTCTGGCGGAGCTGTTCGTGTATCTGGTGGCTCGTCATCGAGTGGCGTCGGTGGTGATGTGACTGTGTCGAGCGGCGACTCCGGAAGCAGTGCGTCCGGCAGCAGCGTGTTTGTCCGCAGTGGTTCTGGCGGCAGCCTGAGCCTCGTCCAGGGCGACAGCAGCGCTGTTGGGGTCGATGTGGAGTTGCGTGGTGGCAGTGTGACCAACGTGGACACAGCGCAGAAGGTGAAGATCATCGGTTCTGGGAACGCGCAAGGTGCGGGAGGCGACGTGTCCATTGATGGTGGGTCGTCTGCGTCCACTGTGGGTGGTGCGGTGCTGTTGACAAGCGGCGGTGGTGCTGTGAGCAGCGGTGACGTGCGTGTGTCCACAAGCGTCATGTCCGGTGGTTCGAGCGGTGGCATCGAGGTGCGCACTAGCGCTAGCAGCGTGTCTAGCGGGTCCATTCGTATCGGCAGCGGGTCCGGTGATGCTAGTACTGGCTCGATCGAGGTGTCTGGTGGGCTCGTCCATGAATGGTGAAGGCTCCGCGGTGTCTGTGTTGGGCGGTCCGTCGGGGTCGGTTGACAGGGGGGCAGCGTGACGATCTTGAGCGGCGACGGGTTGGCATCAGAGAGTGGGGTCGGTGACGCTCGGGTCTGAAGGCGGCGCAAGCACGACTGTGAGCGGGTCGGTGTCGCTGTTGAGTGGGTCGACGGCAAGCGGTTCGTCTGGCGCTGTAGCTATCGCGTCTGGCGCGTCGCATGCTCTGTCGAGCGGGTCGGTGAGCGTGTTCGGTGGCGAGGCTGCAGGTACCGGTGGGCTTGTGAGCGTCACCGGCGGTAGTAGCACTGTTGCTGCGGGTGGTGCGTTGGCTTTGGCCGGTGGTGCTGGTGCGACGGGAGGCAATGTGAGGGTGTCTGGCGGCGAGAGCGTGTCGGGCCCTGGTGCGTCAGTGGAGTTGCGAAGCGGAGAAGGCTCGAGCAGCAGTGGCGATGTGCGGCTGCAGAGTGCAGATGGCGTGGTGTCGGGCGATGTGCATGTCTTGTCCGGTTCGGCGACGAGCAGCAGCTCATCCGCAGGAAGCATCAACTTGTGGGTTGGTTCTTCGGTGGCTGACGGCGGCGATGTTGACGTGCGCAGTGGGACCAGCTCTGAATCCGCGGCAGGTGACGTGTTGCTGACGGGCGGAGCTTCCTTGTTGTCGACATCGCCTTCTACAGGAGCTGTGGCAGGCGCCGTTCGACTAACCGGTGGCAGTTCTGCTGGAGACAATGCCGGTGGCGAGGTATTTGTGTCAGGTGGTGCTGGCGTCGCTAAGGGCGGGTCGGTGTCCGTGTTAAGCGGAGGAAGAGACGATGCGTCCGCTGTCAGTGGCGACGTAACGGTGGGTTCGACTTCTGGTAGTGCCAGCGGGTCCGTGGATGTGATGAGTGGCGCTTCGGGAACAGACGCGTCTGGCGGCGTGACGTTGGGAAGTGGGGACTCGAGCGACAGTACGTCGGGGTCCGTGTCCGTGGTTAGTGGCAGTAGTACCGTATCGAGTGGTGGCTCCGTGTCGATGCGTGGCGGAAGCAGCGGCGGTTCGTCTGAGGGTGGTTCTGTGTCGCTTGAGAGCGGTATGGCGAGCGCGAACAGCGGCAGCATTACGGTGTCCAGTGCAGCTGCGACTGACTCCAGCTTGAGCGGCAACGTGGACATTGGTACGGGCAGCGCGGAATCTGGTACTTCTGGTTCGTTGTCGGTTGTGTCCGGCGTCAGCGGAAGTGGATCGAGTGGGTCTGTGGTCGTGGCTAGCGGCATGGCTAACTCGTCCGATGCAGGCAGCGTGGAGATCCGTGGTGGGTCAACCGGCGGCTCGAGTGCACGCGGAGGCTCTGTGACCGTGTCGTCTGGCGAGGACGGCGTGGTGAGTTTGTCTAGCGGTGTTCGTCGCAGTGCTAACGGCGGGAAGGTCGAGATTGTGGCCGGAGCTGGCACGACCAGCAGCGTGGGTGGCGGGTCGGTGAGCGTTCGAGGTGGCTCTTTGAGTGCATCTTCGGGCCTTGGGGGCGATGTTGCCTTGTCCGGTGGTGCGGCCTCAACGGGCGCGGCGACTGGAGGCGTTGTTTCTCTTGACGGCGGCGTGAGTGAGGCTGGCGTCGGTGGTGGCGTGTCCATTTCGTCTGGCGCGGGCTTGCTGGGCAGCGGTGAGATGACCGTTGTGAGCTGTGCTTCTGTGAGCGGCGACGCCTTGAGCGGCTCGGCTACGATCGGAAGTGGCGAGTCCGCGAATGCTGCGTCGGGTGTGGTGACGCTGTCTTCGGGGTCTGCGGCAGCGGCTAGCAGCGGTGATGTGTCTGTGCAGTCTGGCGATGCGTTTACGGCAGCGGGTCGTGTGTCTGTATCGGGAGGGTCTAGCAGCTCTTCGACGGGCGGTGCGGTGTCTGTGACGAGCGGCGTGGGCAGCGACGTGAGCGGCCTTGTGTCGATTGAGAGTGGTGCTGTAAGTGCTGCATCTGCGTCCGGCGATGTGTCGCTTGTGTCGGGTGGCGCAGTGGATGGCAATTCCGGTGCTGTGCGTATGTCTAGCGGCTCTAGTGACACAGGGCCCGGTGGGATGGTGAGTGTTGTGGGCGGCTCTAGCGGCACGGCGGCATCGGGAGGCAATGTTCTCGTGGGTGGCGGTGGGTCGTACACGGGATCTTCCGGATCCGTGGACGTGAGCGGTGGTTCTTCGTCGTCGAGCGGGTCTGGCGGAGCTGTTCGTGTGTCTGGTGGTTCGTCATCGAGTGGCGTCGGTGGTGATGTGACTGTGTCGAGCGGCGACTCCGGAAGCAGTGCGTCCGGCAGCAGCGTGTTTGTCCGCAGTGGTTCTGGCGGCAGCCTGAGCCTCGTCCAGGGCGACAGCAGTGCTGTTGGGGTCGATGTGGAGTTGCGTGGTGGCAGTGTGACCAACGTGGACACAGCGCAGAAGGTGAAGATCATCGGTTCTGGGAACGCGCAAGGAGCGGGAGGCGACGTGTCCATTGATGGGGGGTTGTCTGCGTCCACTGTGGGTGGTGCGGTGCTGTTGACAAGCGGCGGTGGTGCTGTGAGCAGCGGTGACGTGCGTGTGTTCACGAGCGTCATGTCCGGTGGTTCCAGTGGTGGCATCGAGGTGCGCACTAGCGCTAGCAGCGTGTCTAGTGGGTCCATTCGTATCGGCAGCGGGTCCGGTGATGCTAGTACTGGCTCGATCGAGGTGTCTGGTGGCTCTTCCATGAATGGTGAAGACTCCGCGGTGTCTGTGTTGGCGGTGCGTCGGGGTCGTTGACAGGCGGCAGCGTGACGATCTTAAGCGGCGACGGTTTGGCATCAGAGAGCGGGTCGGTGACGCTCGGGTCTGAAGGCGGCGCAAGCACGACTGTGAGCGGGTCGGTGTCGCTGTTGAGTGGGTCGACGGCAAGCGGTTCGTCTGGCGCTGTAGCTATCGCGTCTGGCGCGTCGCCTGCTCTTTCGAGCGGGTCGGTGAGCGTGTTCGGTGGCGACGCTGCAGGTACCGGTGGGCTTGTGAGCGTCACCGGCGGTAGTAGCACTGTTGCTGCGGGTGGTGCGTTGGCTTTGGCCAGTGGTGCTGGTGCGACGGGAGGCAGTGTGAAGGTGTCCGGCGGCGAGAGCGTGTCGGGCCCTGGTGCGTCAGTGGAGTTGCGAAGCGGAGAAGGCTCGAGCAGCAGTGGCGATGTGCGGCTGCAGAGTGCAGATGGCGTGGTGTCGGGCGATGTGCATGTCTTGTCCGGTTCGGCGACGAGCATCAGCTCATCCGCAGGAAGCATCAACTTGTGGGTTGGTTCTTCGGTGGCTGACGGCGGCGATGTCGACGTGCGCAGTGGGTCCAGCTCTGAATCCGCGGCAGGTGACGTGTTGCTGACGGGCGGAGCTTCCTTGTTGTCGACATCGCCTTCTACAGGAGC